CCTCAGGGCCAACAAGGAGAGTAGAGATACCAGGAGGATTAGGGGAGGGTGAAGGGAGAAAGGGGAATTGATCACAAGGATCAACCTAGAACACCCTTCCAGGGGGACCAATAATGAGAGGGTGGGTGAGGGGCGAAGGAGGACGATGTAAGATATGGAAACAATAATCTATAACTTATAAAGGGTGAGGGAGGGGGAAGAAATGGGGAGCTGATATCAGGGGCTCAAGTGGGAAGAGAATCCTTTGAAAATGATGATGGCGGCATATGTGCAAATGTGCTTGACACATTGCAGGAATGTATGAATTGTGATAAGAGATGTAAGATCCCCCAATAAAAGTTGGTTTTTTAAAAAAAAAATGCAAGGAGGGCTTTCAAATAGTAACTATATGGTAGTCCCAGGCCACCAATCATTGGGCACCCTCAAAGCCAGGGATCTGAGCCAATGTCCAACAACTGCCAATTCCATAACCTTGGGAGAGAAGTCATCTGTTTCTTCACACTGGGGTGTGTAAGCCTTAACTCCAAGGGAATATGACAGTTCCTTAAATCTGCTACAGGTGAATTTGAAGTAAAGCCCAGTTTCCTTAGTGGGGTTCCCACGGCGAGTCCCTCAAAAGGACAGAGTCTAAAGTCCCAGGAGTCGATAGCACCAGCACAGGGCCTGGGTCACCAAGGGCAGGGTAGGAACCAGGTCAAAGTGTCCGATCAGGAACATCATCCCAGGCTCACTCTCCTCTTGGGTTCTACATTCGTACTGTTAGGCGTTGTTCCCGATGGGAGGTTGCTCCTCCCCAGTTTACTCACCACCAGTAATGTAATCACCTTCTCCAAGACATACACACTCCCCTCCCTGTCATCTTGATTGAATTCCCAGGAAGGCTCCTTTAAGTCTTTTGAAGGAGTATCCGTTGATTCGGGGTGACTGGAGCACACTGTTGTATGGCAGCAGCTGGATGATCTCTCTCTCCCCCCCACACCTTGGAAAACTGGCCCCCGCTGAGGGGAGCTCATCTCAGACGACGTGGTTTTTAAGATGGACACAAAGGGGGAGATGTATGGTTCATGGGCGCCAGGTAGGCTCTCTGCCTTGTTGCTTGGGCCACTGGGTTGGGGCATTGCGTGGGCTGAGAGCAGAAGCCTGCCCTCTTCTTGGTGTTTATCCTTACAGAAGGGGAGCCATACAGGATTTGTCCTTCTGTGATCGAAACAGTAGCCAAGAGATCAAAAGACGCATTGCATTAGGTAGAAAGGCTGCCCAAGACTTCTTCAGAGTACTGGAGAGCAATGCTGCTCCTTTGAGGAGTAAGTGTGCCTGACCCAAGCCATGGCCTTTTCAATTGCCTCATGTGCCTGTGCAAGTTGGACATTGAATAAAGAAGGCTGAAGAGGAGTCGATGCAGTTGAATTGTGGTGCTGGAGAAGAATATCGAAAGTACCATGGACTGCTAAGAACACCAACCAATCTTGTCTTGGAAGAAGTATGACTGACTAGAGTGCTCCTTAGCGGCAAGGGTGGTAAGACTTCCTCTTTCATACTTTGGACATGTTGTCAGGAGAGACTGTCAGTCTGGGTAGACGAGAGAAACAAATCCAAAGACACTCATGTGTGTTTACATACAAGAGCAAACATTGGGAAAACATCCCAGCCCAGTCCAGATCGAGTCCATAAGTCCAATACAAGCCCATATGTCCGACACCAATCCACAAAGTCCTCTTCAGATTCAGGAAACACATGCAACAACGCCGAATGCAGCAAGGTCACAGGCCAGTGGGTGGGAAGTCTTGTGGACCCAGTGGTAGTGTAAGCATCTCAGTGCTGGCAGGGGTCTCCCTGTGGCTCCTTCAGCTCAGGGCACTAGCATAGCTCCCTGTGTCTTGTCAGCTGCAATGTCCTGCAGGAAGTGAGCGAGTGTCCCACCTGCAGAGAGCTATTTCTCTCCTTAGCACCTCCAAATGAGGTCATCAAGCTGCGACCTGATAGACTGGCTAAACACCTCTTCACTCATAAGTGTCAAGTTGACAACAGATTACGT